TAGAAAGATGGGATCCAACGTACGTATCCGTGCCATGAGCTCATCAGCATCAATAGCCCAGAATTTTTGTCTTCTGGTTTACGAGGTTCCCCTTCTGAGTTTCACAAAGAGAATTTTTGTGTGTCGCAAACCACCAGAGGAACCATTTAGAATTGAATAGAATTGAATAACAGAGTTGGAAGGGACCTTGGAGGTCTTCTACTCCAACCCCCTGCCTAGGCAGGNATCTTTGATTTACATTTTTTCCCCCAAACATATCTCAAAATAACATTCCCTCCAAGGTCCAGTTCACTGGTCTAATTTAAGGCCAATTGTTTCAAAACAATACTTTCACCCATTATCCATTAAAAAAAAAAAAAAACTGGCCCTTTTTATCCCTTTTAAACTTTTTTTACAACCAATTTTTTTTTGTTGCCAAAAGTTTTTAAATCTTTAAAACCTTTTCCCCCCCTTTATAGTATTAAAGGAACGGAAAGCAAGAGAGGAAGGGGAAGAAGGGATGGGGAGAATTTGCTTTTTTTCCTTTTCCCCTTCTTTGAGACGTTAATTAATCATGCAAATGTAATTCGTGCCTGCAATTAAGACATGAATTAATAATACAGGTGCAAAAAAAAAGTTAGAAATTCCAAACAGAACTCTGCGTAAAAGGAAAGAGAGTGTTTCTTTTTGTCGGACAAGCTTAAGCAGAAAGTAACAATACTTTTTAAAGTTCCATTAAAAAAAAAAATCAGACTGACTTGGAGCCTTTAAAAAAGATTTTAAAAAGAAGAAATAAAGATAATTGGCACCTTTCCCTTGGAAACTAATTATTCTGAACTTTAAATAGCTTCATCGAAAATAATTTGCAGCGTGCTGTCGCTCCCTGCAAAGCATTAGGAAATTACTTTTTTTACTGTTTAATTAAATTGGATACTAATTAGATCAGCCGCTTGCAACTTATGAAATGTTGTTATCAGTTACTCTTACATAATGTATCCCGTCGATTTCTGCTGAAGTGAAACTTTGGCTAACTTGTTTCAACTCAAAACTCCCAAAATCAGCAAAGTGGGAAATTTCCACTTTGTAGAAAGTATCATTGTATTGTCCCTGAGTACCATAACCGGAAATCAGAAAAACTCCGAATGTTTAATTTAAATCTGAGATTTATTTCTAATTAGCTTCAGTCGTTGCCCTGGTATTTATTCATAGGGAGGAAAGGTCCAGATCAAACATAATTTATAATGTTGGATTTCTCCCTCTTACCAGAGGGAGCCCCCTTGTGGAGGACTGTGAAGCCGTTACCATGGCAACTCGACTGCGCTGTACGGTAGAATCCGTTTTACGGCAGTACAGTGGAAGCCATTTTAAGGCACAACAGCCTGTATCTTAACAGAACACCCCCCTCCCAAGGGGTGTTAGGGGTGTCTTACCTCCACAGTATTTGTCTCCAGAGAATAAGTCATCTGTGTACCAAGTTTGGTTGAAATTGCTCAAGGCATTCCAGAGTTATGCTGGAACACACAAACACACACACACACACACACACACACACAGAGAGAGAGAGAGAGAGAGAGAGAGAGAGAGAGAGAGAGAGAGTTTTACATATATAGATAGTTGTCCCTGCCAAAGATTGCCATTAAAGGCTAAAATAACCATTAAATGCTTACACTTGTATGACATAAATTAAATGGACAAAACTATTGGATGGATGGATGGATGGATGGATGGATGGATGGATGGATGGATGGAAAAGGACAGCCCTTTATTTCAGAAGGCTGCCCTTTAGATGGATCAATAGATTTATTTTTCAGAAAGTGAGTTTGGTCCTTTATTTTGTTTCTTTAACTTATATTGTACAAGCGTGATCACAGAATGCATGGTTTAATTGCAGAAATCCTTTTTAATATCTCTTTCTTATAACTTTATAACCATATTTATAACCCTGAGTCTTCCGAGAGTGGGCGGCATACAAATTAATTAAATTAATAAATAAATTAAATAAATATGCTTTCTATATATTTTTATTGCCCTGTGTCCTTTTTTTGCAAAGTTTCTCGCGGTTTTGCTCCCTTGGATTTCCCTGTGCAAAGTTACGGGCGTAATAATCATCTTCTAGACTTTTCCTGTCCTTTAACTCTCTTTCAGATCTGCCCTTTTCTATCGGGCACCTTGTCTTCTGCAAGGAAACAGGGTCACCGCAGCTGTATCATGGGCTTGTCAGGAAATATTACTTGGCAGCTAAAAGGTGGAATAATAATAATAATAATATAATATCCAATACAGATAGGCAAAATAAATAAATGAATAAAAATAAAACCAAGGCCGCGGAGAACCCCCTGCTAAAATCAAAACATTATAGCTTTCTGAACTTACAAACATTGTTATGAATCACGGGATGGTTTTTACTCGTTCGATCCAAAGCTTTCCGAGATCATGTTGGGTTAGAAAAAAAGTTTGCAGGACTTTGGCCTCGTGGCAGGTCATTCCACTCTTAATTGTTGTCCAAGAGAGCCGATTGTCCTCTTTAGACCTCCGTGAGTTAACTTTCGTCTGCCTAAAGTCTCAACCTATTTTCTGCAGAGCGGAAATTCCCGATTAACCCTGATTTAGCCGGCCTCCAAAACCTCTTTATTAAGTTAGCCCTTGACTTACGACCTTCACCGAGCCCCAAATTTTCTGGCGCTAAGTGAGACACGTGCGTTAAGTGAGCTTTGCCCCATTTTTTCACAACCCCTTCCTTGCCGCGGTGGTTGAACGAATCGCGGTCGTTGCGAATTGTGAGTCCCACGGTCTTGTTGAGTGAATCTGGCTTCCCCACGTTGACTTGGCTCATCCGAAGGTTGCAAAAGGGGATTGCGTGACCCACACAGCCACCGTCATAAATATGAGTCGGTTTCCAAGAGTCTGAATTTGGATCACACAGCCACGGTGATGCTACAAGGGTGTGAAAAATGGTCATAACTCTAAGTCAGGTTTTTCCCCCAGTGTTTTTGTAACTTCGTACAGTCAATAAGTGAAGTGTTGTAAGTCAAGGACAAGCTTGTACTAGGCTGTCCCTAATTGCTCAAAAAGGGTGGCACAATTTCCTGCCGTTCTGGGGAAAGAAATGTGTAAGAACAATTGTGCAAATCCCAAAAAGACCTCATAGATCATACAGAATGATAATAAGACACCAAACTAATCAAGGAGAGAAGCAACTTAGAACTGAGGAGAAATTTCAGCAAGAACAATTAACCAGTGGAACAACTTGCCACCGGATGTTGTGAATGCTTCAACACAACAAGTTTTAAAGAAGAGGTTGGATAACCATTTGTCTTAAGTGGTGTAGGGTTTCCTGCCTGAGCAGGGGGTTGGACTAGAAGACCTCCAAGGTCCCTTCCAACTCTGTTGTTCTATTCTATTCTTCTATCACACATAACCCCTCTCTAAATTTCCTCTCCACTGTCGTAGTACCATATGTGGAATTTTTTAAGAAAATAATAATTTAAAAACTGCTTTCCAACCCATACAAAAAAGCTTCTCATCCTTCATTTATCACCTTTGAATTTTAGATAAATTAAGATTTCATGACCCAAGGCAGAAACTTCCTTTTAATATTACTCCTGGCAGCTGTTAACTTCTACATATATATATAAAAAAAGAAAATCAGAACAAGGAAGGTTCTCTTTTCCTTTTTTTAAAGTTTATTGTTTTTATTTCTGACGCATACACAGATATACAATCTCATAACTCTTATTAACAAGGTGCGTTATCTTTTAACATTTATAACGATATTTCTGACACTATTGATGGTTGATCATATTGTTATAAATGTTGATGACAATATCAACATTCCTAACAATATGATCGAGATGGGTTTTCTACCATCCCATACACCAGTGGTTCCCAAACTTGGCAACTTTAAGACTTGTGGATTTCAACTCCCAGAATTGAAGTTGAAGTCCACAAGTCTTAAAGTTGCCAAGTTTGGGAACCACTGCCATACACCCATCATTGATTTCTCTTTTTTCAATGCATCAAAAGGGGTTGAAAATCATGAAGTCATCACATTGCAATCCCAATTTCTAATTTTGCACGCCAGCGATGCATGCCGCCATCCCTTTGTGCTGCTTTCTTTTAGCAACCTACTTGCAAGTATCGATCGACTTCGTTTAGGATTAGGACAGGATCAGGGCAAATCGACTGTTCCCCCCCCCCCTGTCCATCCATCCAACCAACGTTCTCCCCACTTGACTTCGGGCGCCGGTTTGTTAATATTTGTTAATATTTGCTGATGGTTTGTCAACGGGGCATGAAAAGGATGAATGGCCAGACGTGATGACAAATATTGACTTTTGGTTTGTAGAAAAGTGAACTTTGTGCTGAGAAGGAGAAACCAACATTTCCTGAAAATGGAAAAAGAAGCATCTGTGGAGGCCTTAAAATCTGCCCAGGAGACCATCATCAAAGAAGAGGTAAGCGGGGTTTAATCGGGGGTCATTTTTACGCCAGCAATCAATGCTAGGTTATATATAATAGCAGAGTTGGAAGGGGCCTTGGAGGTCTTCTAGCCCAACCCCATGGCTAGGCGGGAAACCCTCTACCGTTTCAGACAAATGGCTATCCAACATCTTCTTAAAGACTTCCAGTGTTGGAACATTCACAACTTCTGGAGGGAAGTTGTTCCACTGATTAATTGATTAAATTTCTCCTTAGTTCTAAGTTGCTTCTCTCCTTGATTAGTTTCCACCCATTGCTTCTTGTCCTGCCCTCAGGTGCCTTGGAGAATAGCTCGACTCCCTCTTCTTTGTGGCAGCCCCTGAGATATTGGAAGACTGCTATCATGTCTCCCCTNTTATAATTAGTAAAAGTACACTTGATTTCTATTCATGGAGTCTCGTGGTCTTCTTTCCTAATTACCTAATGGAGAGGTTCTGACACCCACAGGCCCAAGGCAGAACTGCCCCATTTGCCAGTCCCCAGAGGGGGTTCCGCAATTCCCCTCTTCTTCTCAGCAAAGACCACTCGGGCCAGGACAGGGGTGGACTGTCATCAGGTTTTATTTTTTTTTCAACACATTAAATAAGCTGAATATATTAACAAGTATTTCCAAGTATTATTAAAAATGCAGCTGCCTTCTCTTCTCCACCGGTGCCAAAAAGAGAAGGGCCAGGACGCCAGGCTGACCCACACCGGACCAGCCCTGCGCAGGAGAGAGGAGAGGAGGGGATGGGTCAGGAATTTATCTTATCTCCCTGACCCATCCCTCCCGGCGTACTCCAGGGCGCTGTACCCAATGCATGCCAGTCCCCCCCGCCCCCAGTTGGCAGAAGGAACTGGACCTTTCCTTGCCAGCCTCACAGGGGCGCCCCCAGCCCTAATTCCTTTCACCCCAGCCCTGCATCTTTCTGCCGTTCTACCTCTGTGCTCCCAGCCATGGTTAAGAGGTAGGGGAGGCCCTCAGGACTGCAATGGGGCCAGGCAGGGGAGGGCAGAAAGCAGCAGCCCCTGATTGCAGAGACCGGGCTGGGGACTGGACGGCTCCCTCCTGCCTCCCAATGGGTTCTGCAGCCCTCCCTGCAACATCGTACCAGCTTGCCCCCGGGGTGCAGTGCCGCTCCTCGGCCCATCCGGCTCCTGGAGGTCTGAAGGGCAGCCAGGATGACCAGTTGGGGCCTGAAGTGCTCCTCGGCCTCAGGGCCAGACTCAGGACTGGGCTTCCGGCAACTTGAGGCTGGGCTCTGCCATGCCCGGTGCCAGGCCCTTGCAATGCTGGGGGTGTCTCTCCGGGCACTGCAGGCTTTTGGCCTCACAGTTCAGGTTCTGGTAGCGGGGGGTGCTGGCAGCCGGCCGGTGGCAGACGGAAGCGAAGCTGAAGCTGAAGGGCCCCAGGCAGCAGGCGGGGCAAGCCAGCACCTCGTCCTGCTCCATCACACAGCTGCTGCTGCCGGAGGGGCTCAGGGGCAGCGTCGTGCCCAGGCGTTCTGTCTGCGCTCCCTCCACCGTAGGCGGCACGCTCAGCTCTGAGAAGCCCCCGCCCCAGCCACGCGGCTTGCTGTTATTGTTCAGGAGCAGCCTGTTGGGGGACCACGGCCGGGCCGCCGACACGGCTGTGTTGATGAAGCTGCCGTTGGTCAGGGGGGGTGCCGGGCCAGCAGGTGTCGGTGCCGGGCTGTCCGTGCTGCAGTCCATCTGCTCGCCGGCAGGGGAACCCGGGGGCTCCGGGGGAGTGCGGTCCAGGCCCAAGAGGGGGCTGTAGTGCGGCTGCTCCCGGCGAGGCAGCTCTGGGGAGGCCGGCAGCGAGCGACACCTGCGCATGATGGCCGCGGGCTCAGCAAAGTTGCACTGCATCTCCACGGTGGGCTCCGGCGTGATGGGGGTGCCAGGCGGAAGAGGCGAGGGGGGCGGCAGGTTGAAAGTCAGGGAGATCAAGGACTTGCTGGGCGTGTCGAAGAGCTTGATTCTGCCCCCCTTGAGGTCCTGGCGCTGGGAGAAAGGGTTGACGCGCTGCGGAGTGTCGTGGGCTCGGGGCAAGGTGGGCGACCGAGGGTGGAATACGTCCGACTGGCTGCGGGAGAGGGGCTGCTCTGCGGTCAAGAGCCGCTGGCCCAGCAGGCCGGATGCAGTGTTGGGGAAGGAGAGCTGCTTGGGTGCTTGACCTGGGGGCAGAAGGAAGGGGGTGGGGGCGTGTCAGAGGCATCCCAGAGTGACCTCTCCGAGTGCCCTGCGCCCTTCAAAAGCCGCATCCAGACCAGGAAACAGCTCAGCTGCAGCTGCTCCAAAGGGCTGGGAAGGAACTGCCCTGGCACACACGGAAAACCGGGCACGTCCCTCCCCTCCCCCAATGGCTCAGAGGCCCAGCAGAAAAGGCGTCCTCTGCCCACCTTCCAAGGCTGCCCCTTTCCCTCCTGCCCACCTTCGCCCCTTCCCAGCCCCCAGGATGGCTCCTGTAACCTCCATTGTAAAAACAACAACACCCAACTATGCAATCCCTACTTCTGGGGGGTGGGGGGGCAGCCTCTCCACCTTTTGCCTC